ATAAGAAGATAAACCTATTTGTTATACAACTAAGGAAATAAATTTTTGAAATGTCAAAAAAGATAAATTTTTAGTCAATATCAACATAAATATAATAGTGTTTTCGAAAGTGAACACCCTACTGTAACCAGCGGAGACAAGTTACTCACCTTGGTCACTCTTCTGGAGCATATATTGTGCTGTATTTTAAAATTAAACAACCATTTTTCCGAAGCAACAAAGTCATGCAATAATTCTTGTTTAGCTTTTTCTAAGATCCAGCGACGCAAGTCAAGATTATGCACAGGAAGATAAGATTCTGAGCTTGTTCAAATTTATGATAAACATAATTATTTATGTTTTCCAATTTTTGCGTTTTTGTTCCACTCTTTTCAATATAAGCACGAAAACGAGCAATATATGATGAATTTGTGACACATTTAGATTGACGTTTCACATCTTTCCAAGACCGACGACGTTTTCCTGTCAAAGGATCCTTTTCATCCTAATATTCAATGACTTTTTCATGTAATTTAGAGAAAACTTTTGAAGAAGGACACTACCCTCGTCGTCGCCTGTATCGTTGAAATCTGGATCTAATTCAGAGTCATCTGATGCAACATACTGATCAACATCGTCTTCACTTAATTCATTGGAAATGTAATCAAGAGTAGTTTCATTGTCTACAGTAAACGTGTAACTGTTGATAATTGATTTTAAAAGTTTAGCCAAATGGTTCGCAATTTCTTGTTCACGTATTGATGGTGCTCGAAGATTAACTTTTGTAGATACTTCAGATTGAGAAAACTTCTCTGAGAGTAGGGAGGATACAATCGATGCATTTATCATTTTCGTTAGAAACGAATAAATTGAATATCAGATAAAAAATACATTATTATATATTACTGTTCTTTTTCGTACACACGTGGTATATGTTTAGTCTATCTATGTAAATTAGTTTGGTTTATTTCTTCTCATTTAATAATATGTATCATTCGCACACCGAAAAATCACTATATATGTAACTTATCATATAAACGACGTTATAGCCCATAGGATAGAAGTGAAAATAAATATACTATTGTGAACGACTAAAATTATCTTACAATTCTGGGAAATACTATATATAATGACATATAGAACGACATTAATATTGTCTAAAATTGATAATTGAATCTTCTCAAGGTTGTTTGANTACTAAGGCTCGGACCTATAAGATATAGAGCTACTTGAAACTGAATTTCAAGCTTAAGTCATGTTCTTAGATAGATCTTACAACCATTAGAATAGACAGGGGTGGCACGACATTCAAAATCCAGGTGAGGCTCAGCGAGTTGCTGTCTGATTCGGGTTTGAATATAAATGGATATGTTGAGGGCATTCATGTTCTTCAAATCTCCAAAGAAAAAGATAAACTTTATCTCGATTGTAATTAGAACTCAGATAACTGGCTCATCCCTGCTGATTTAGGAAAGGAAGAGTTTTTTTTCCGGTCTTATAATTATAATTCAGATAACTAGCTCTCACTGTCATTTCAGAAAAAGAAGTGCTCTTTCCTGAATTATTATAATTGTAATTCAAATAACTGGTTTACCCGTGTTGATTTAGGAACAAGAAAAGTTTTTTCCGGTTTTATAATTATAATTCAGATGAATAACATATCTCTGTAAGTTTATGAAAAGAAAATGTTTCCCTAGACGAACATCTTGTAAGCAAGATCTTGTCAAGATCTGTAGAAGATAATTCGTTCTGATATTTCTTAGCCGTATTCAATATGTCTGCAAGAGACTTTACAATGTTGAAGGTATGTGTCAACCAATGAGACTAAAGCTATAAATAACAAAGAAAGAAGAATAATTTCATAGATATGTATAAAAGACTACTATTTTATTAGAATATAACTCATACCAGATTACGAGTTTCTGAAAATTACAATTATATGAAATTCAAATTTTTTAAAGGAAACAGTTTTGTAGCAATATGACACAATAAAAGATTTTTTACATTTCGTTATTAATGAGATCTTTAATTTGAGTGAATTCTTTACTGAACTGTCATATAAAGTATCTAAGTGGTTATCCGATAGAGATTTCGACCGTCGATTTTGGCTTCCTACGAGGATCGAAATTCTAGATAGAGCTCCGAGAATGCCACTTTCCGATAGGTCGAGGGCTCGGCGTTAGGTTATTCCGACGTGCAATTTCTGGCTACTCGAAAGATTGTTTTCGAGTAATCGAAATTCGATCAAAATAAAAAAAATTTTTCTCTGATAGATGTCTCAGTTTCGCGTCCTCGAAATCTATTTAATATATGGGGACGAGTAGATTTGAACATGGATATTTAGGATTCACTTTCGTCGAATAGTTGATCTAAATATAAATTGTTAATCTTCTATGAGAACAATTTTTTAAATATGTTAAAAGATGATACTTTAAAGTTTCTTTTTGGTTTTTTCAGTTTTTGATTCTAACTTTTTAAACATAAAAAGTTATGGTTTTTTCTTGAAAAAATTAACTTTTTCACGACTCTGACTGACACTAGAATTTTTTTTATTTGAAATTCTGTTGCAATAAGTTTATTCATTAAATATGTTATGTAATAATCAACTGATTTCTACTTTAAACATGAAGCTAGTATTTAGAAATTTTTTTAAGAATTGAAAACGCAAAAATCCATTAAGAATGCATCTTAGCCGAAAACACGAGCGGATTTCTATTTTGGTTTCAATAAGTGGATAATAGATATTGGTTCGAAAATTATTAAATTTAGGTGGATTATATACCGAATATAAATAATTCTACTAATATTATTAAATTAAGTAAAGAATATTTAAACCATTGAATTTTTTGCAGAATTTTCGCGCCATAAAGATTAGACTCAGTAGCCAAAATTGTTACTATGATGAGTTTGCTTCTACCGAAACACTCGAAAATATCCTCCTGGGATGTTTCTTTTTCTTTAGTGGTAAATACTTCGATAGGATTCGGATGGTTAAAATACGTTCGACGAGTCGATGGTATTCTTGCGATACATGTTCTTTTTACGAGCACTCGAAATGTATTCGAGTAGTCGTAAATGAGTGCCTTCTAGGACACAGTTTTCGATTGCTCAAAATTCGATGGGTATCGAGAGGCTCGAAACTGGAACAGAACGAACAAAAAATGTGTTTTTCAAGTTTTTGATCAGTCGTCGAATCTATCGTATGTTTTTTGTGTTTACTTGGGTCTGCCTATTGTATTCAATGCTTTGTGCTGTATACTTTTTTTTAGTCCTGTCATGTAGTCTATGTGCACTGCTTCAATATTTTTCGTTCCTTTGCCCATCGGCAAGTTCTACTTTGAAAGATTCGGCTTTCTGTATGTTTGATTTGCGCAGAAGAAACATGCCATCACGGGAAAATGAATTACGTTGCTGGGGAAGAAACCAGTTCTCACCTATATAACAGAATACAGAGAATTAAAAAATGAATTATACACCATTTATTTCTTCAAGTCGATAGTACTATTCGCCACTAGTTAAGAGTAGGTTTCTCACTTATTCTACCGCATAACGTATTCTTGAGCTTCATTCTATCCATATTGATTATTATCCGAGAGGATAAAGTCTGTGTCAATAAGACCTGCATGGCGGTATCATTGATCAGTCGTTTTAAAGTTGGAAATTTCCAAGCTTTTCATTTTCAGTGATTGTTCACATGAAGATCGAGATGGTATGATGGAATAAGGAAGAAAAGAAAAATGTGGAAAGGATAAATATCGAAGAAAATAAGGGGAAATATAGAAAGAAAAAGAATAGTTCCAGGAGGAGGTTGTAATGGAATGATTAAAATAGTTTCCTTTTAATTGGCTCGCGCTGTTAAATGTGTTCATTCTTTAGATGCAGACATACTAATAGATTTTTCGATATTTTAGATATGATGACCACTCTTTCTCATACAATGTCATTCATTATTTCTCAGAAAAGCAAAAAATGTTGAATATACACAATTTCATTCTTAAATTGAATAAGACGAGTACAAAACAATATTATCGATGTTTAGATCTGCACTGCACTGTAAATTTAAATAATGATCTTTACAGTGTTATCTTAAACATTAAAGATGATAGTTGTGGGTGTGGGTGAGCGTTGTTTGACTGCCACCTCACTCATCCCTGCCTTATCCGATTGAAAACTTTTATTGTTTTTATCAATAGTTTACTTCTCAAAATGAATTCTATAAGATGTAGTCGACTGTGAGATACGATTTAAATGAGTTTCGCTTGGCAAATAAATCGAACATTTTCTGACTAACTTCAAAGAAGACTAAATATGAATAGCATAATATCAGTCTGAATCTCAATGAGACTAAAAGTACATGTCTATGAGAACCATTCACTTCAATTCTAGGACATGTGATGGATGATGTTTGTGCCACTGAATTTTTATGACAATGATTGAATGCAGAAAACAGAAGAAAAGAAACTGTATGAGAAATAAAGTCATCAAAAATATGCATAAAAGTAGCTCTAACAATTGTTAAACTTTCGAGAAAGGAATTTCTCAAATTCTCTATTTTGAGTTCAATGATGTATTTTCTTTTAATAGTTATCAGCCTATCTGAATGTCTGTTTAGATTCAATAAAGCTATGGAGTTACCATAAGACTATTATTAAGTACTGTACTCGATGAGAACTCCTGAAAAATAAACATGGACATCAGATAGATTATATTAATGGTGGTATATTTAAATTAGGGAAATCAATAATGAAGCTGAAACAGTTGATTTGGCAGTTTTTTTTTCAAATAAATGTAAATTCACAAGTCTTTGAGTCGATATTGCTTATGATAATTCTACTGTTAATTTTCATCAATGTTGACTATTGTCGTCTCATCCTTCATCAAATTCAATAGGAGATAAAATGTAGCATTGTTATTTAATACTTCAACATTTATCTATATGCCTTAAGTATACATGTTTTCTTGAACAACTTATTGAGCATATAACCAATATTGAACGATTATCAGTCACTTTTAAATGACTAATGGATTTTGAACCTCAATTCAAATCAAATATTGAAACATTAATAAAATCATATGGAACTTGGTTTGAAAAGGTAAGAGGATTCTATTGCGATTATATTTTCATCTTGGTTTGAGTTGCTTGAAAAAAGAGTTCGAAGACATGTGACTAATGTTGTTTATTCCGAATGAGCATGTATGAAAAGATTCGAATTCAAAGACGAAGAAAGCTGAGTGTTGTGTGCTAGATCGTCGACAAAAGAGCAATCACCAAAACGAAAAAGAAGGTATTAATCGATCAGATACCAAGTGTGTTTTAAGAGACTTGAACCTCTATTCAGATAATTGATTTTTCAGCCACTGCTACTGTTGATCAAAGTCCTCCTTACATATGATAGAAGGGTGTAGGTGTGGCTGGGTGTCCTAACCAAGAAGACATCCACACCCTCTTATTGCAAAACAAAAAACAAGTCTTCTAAATATTTAATACGATGGAACATAGTACCATCATGGGATCTATTCATTATGAATATAGAAGACACCATGAGAAAAAGTCAATAGGGATTTGTTCTTACAGTTGTTTGTGGAGCTTTTCATGGCGCATCTTTAAAAAAACAAAAAAAAATCAAGATTATGCGATTGATCTGTGATGAGATACTTTCAAAATACCAAATGTTGCAAGATTTATGCTGCACCCGACGGTTATCACATTTTCGTGTTGTTTGTTTTATTTCGATCTCATGAAATTCATACATTAACGATGGGAGTAAAATAATCAATACATTATATAAAGGTAAAACTGTCTATTTTTGAGAAGCATCATTGTTCATTAAATATCATAAAATAATGATTAGTGAATCACTAGTACTTTTTAATAAGTTTATACAGACATAAACTTTTTCTATACATAATTCTTCTTTCATTCTTTTCTGTAATGTAAATGAAACACTCATACCCATTTAGGACTGTATCTAATTCATTTGAAATTCATTAAAGAACACCTGATCACATCGTTTAATGCAGTTCACACTAGGATATCTTCGGTTGTGTAAAATAGAAATTTATTTTATTTGAAATTCTATAGACAAAAAAAATGTGTCTAATCAGAAGCCGGACTTGATTCATGGCAACTACTTTTTTGTGTTTTCTGTTGACAAAACACTCACCATAAGTTTCTTTCTCCATTAGTATTTCACAACTCATCTCTCTTTTGTCAACAAACGGTAAAGAACAACAGAACATTTTCATATTATTCTAGTCGATTTCATTCAATAGTTTTGTCGGTAACAGACAGTGAAAAAAGATATTGCGCAAATTGGCAACCTGATAGAACAAAAAACAGTATTTTTTTTTCAACAAATTCTTTTGTGGTAATATCAAGATGAAATTCGAAGATTTAGCCAATGAAATAATACTTGTACTGCTTGAGTCATTCGATACAGTAACTCTTCTTCGTGCTTTCTGTAATCTTAACTGTCGTTTAAATCAACTAATTTTCAGTCATATTCAAGCGTATCATCTAGATTTTCGATCAATCTCAAAAAATGAATTCGATCTAATTTGTCATCAATATCTTCCAACTATTATTGATCGAATTACATCACTATGCTTATCACATGATAATGAAGCGTCATACATTTTAAATGGATTTTATTCATATGGTTTTCATATTAGTCAATTCAATCATTTATAATCATTATCGCTTTATTCAATTGAAGAAACTTCAATAATCGATCAAATAGTTCTTGAATTACATCAATTCCCATTTCTTTAACATATAAATATAACTCGATGTAATTTAGAACTTGAATGTGAAACAAAAAATCATCACTCTAAATGAAATTTGGAATCTAAAAAAAGCAACACATTGTAATTTTAATCATTGTCATGGACTTTCAATACAATTAACTAGAATATCAATAATATCACAAACTATTGAATATCTTTCAATAGATAATAGTGATAATGTTAGAAATTTAACTCAATTAATCTATTACACACCGAAACTTCAACGATTAAATTGGAATTTAAAATATTCATCAGGCAATGAACCATTACTTATTTCAATGCCATCGATAATTTCATTAGAATTTTGTTGTTGCATTACGAATGATCGATTAAAAACTATTTTACAACATATGCCTAATTTATGTTATTTAAAATTAAATCTTATTAATATTTATTTAAATGGATATGAATGGGAAAATTTATTTGTTTTAAATTTGCCTAAAATAAAAAATTTTCAATTTCAAATGAATCTTAAATTTTTCTGAAATAAATATTGAAGAACAAATTAATAATATACTTGATTTATTTCGAAGTACATTTTGGCTTGAAGACCATCAATGGTTTGTTCGATGCCAATAGAGTCAATCAAATTTAGGTATTATTTATACATTACCTTATGCATTTAATCATATTTTTTATTTGAATCAATATTCATCAAAATCTACTTGTCCAAATGAACATTACTATTGGTCATATGATAATGTTAACATATTTGAATATATCAATGGTAATAATATGTTTATTAATGATTTTATTAATTTTCCTATTCATTTAAATTATATTCGAGAACTGGATATTGCTCTTCCGATTAATAATTATTTTTGGTCAATTATTTCATCATGGAATCAATTGATTTCACTTAATATAATTATTAATGGAGATGACGAAAATGTTTATTTTCAATTACAACAATTATTTGATCAAACACCATGTCTTTATTCATTGAAATTTTCCAATTGGAATGATTTGAATATGATATTATTTCAAAAATTAAAAAGTAAATCAATTCGTCGACTTCATTTTATTGAATTGCGTGCATCATATCGTCAATTTTTTAATCGTAATGAATGTTCTGCATTAATTAATTCAATATTGGGAAAACAATGTGAAGTTTTAATTGTTTCTGTTAGCAATCAAACATTGGCTATTGATATTGCTGAAAATATGATAAAACTTCGAAGTTTAATTATTAAATGTCAAACTAACAAACCATCTCGATTGAATTTCCCGTCAAGAAATAATATATTTGTTCAATGGAAATAAACTCATATTTGATTTTTCATTATCTTCTATTACTTGTCTAACATTAATGTGTTTCTCTTTCTATGATGCCTTTTATGAAGGGTGGGGTGTGGGTGTGTGAATTGGGTGTGAATATGAATGTCTGAGTGAGGATAAATGTAGAAGAAGACACCCACACATCGACCACACCTACATCCACCCATCCACACCTGCAATACCATTGTTTCGGCACAGTTTCCCACCAAGAATTCCAATTCAACTTCTATTTAGAGATTAGTGGATGTTTTAACGAGAACTGCTTCGTCAATCCGACATTGGACTAGTCCAAAGTGAGAATCCAAGATTGATCTTGGCGGATCTGAGATTAGATTGAATCTGAGATTGGACGCTAACATATACATCACGCTTGATAATGAAGTAATTACTAAATTTTTCAAGTGTTCAAAAACTTAGTGTTATAGATAGGCGTTTTTTTTAATCAGTTTGCAATTGTATAGTAGAGTCGGTAGGGTCTAAAATTTTGTCGATTCGCGCTCAGGTGTTTAAACTTTTTTGCATCCAGACACAAACCCAAACCATACCTAATTTCAATGAAATTCTTTTAGACTACATTGATAGTCGTTCCAAAGATATAAGATACTTTTTATTGTCTATTTATATTCTGTTACTAACACATTCCACCATATTTCTCAGACAATCTTGAACATGATCTTACAATAATTAAGTGATAATTATTGCTTAATATTAGAGTATGACTCATTAGTTCGGGACTAACCTGACGGGCTCTAATGCTGAGTATAGCCAATCAGGGAAAAATCGTGCTGGAATGTACAAAATCTAGAAATTTTACTTTCAATCTAACAAAATACAGAAAAGTTGAATGATTCATGAAATTAGAAACAATTATTAAATTAAATCATTGACAATTCAATGACTAGAATTGACCGAACGGTCAATATTCTTAACACAAACATATTTCGTGTAATGTGAAAGATTTTTCTCTAGAATTTCTTGTTAAGCTTAGTATTAACAGCGAAAATTTTACTGTATTTGTATTTTACAGCAAGTGCAAATTAACCGATGGAATAGTGACTATTCAGCATTGTCATAAGATTTTGGTGGCTTTCAAAGATTTATTTTGTGAACTAACTATGAGCAGGGTTAACACAGCGAGATAAATAAGAGATTCGTCTCATAATTAAATATTCCAATTTTCAGCAAGATATTTATATGGTGGCCAATTGCGTACATCACTCATTTCTTCATCATGCAATTTCTTATCAAGATGTAATGATCGATGTGTCTTCATTCGATTCCAATGATAATGTTGACGAGTTAATTCAAAATAATCATGTTCACCAGGTGCACGAGCATTTTCAAAAGTTTCATCAGCAAATTCTTTATCTTGTGAATGTATAACAATTCGTGATTCGTTTTCAAAAACATTTAATAATTCATCATCTTCTAATAAACTAAAATATTCCATTAAATTAAGTATTTTTATGTTTTTTTTATAAAAAAACGAAAAATTTGATCATCCAATTGTTCTTGTCATTCACATGTCCAAATAGATATTTGTTGTTCCTGTTTTTTTTGTATCATGTTTATCAGCAAATGCAGCTATTTCAAGAAGATTCTTTTCAAAAAATTTCTTGAGCTCTAATAAAACAATTTTATTTCGTTGGCGACATTGAGGTAAAAGTTTTTCTTATATAAATAGATAAAATAAAGTTGACTGATTTACGGATTTGAATGATGGTTTTATATATACTTTAATAATATCACATACAGCTTTAGAAATCAATTCTAAATGTTGATAAGAACTTGGAGGTAAACGTTCTTTTGCTTCAATAATATTATAAACATATTCATCAAGTTCTTTTTCCAAAATTTTTGTCTATATCAACGAAATAGATTAAAAATAATTTAAAATATAAAAAAACTTCATTTTACTATTGTTTTATAAAATTGTAATTGATCATTATCTAATATTGTTTGAAGTGCAGCACATATACGACCGAGTTTTTTTTTTATAAAGAATATTTCCTAAAATCTAAAGAAATATTTTAACAAAGTACAGCACATTAAATGTTACAGAAGATATAAAGTTTTCCTCAAATTTTGACGTTCTGAAAATTCATAATGCAAATTTGATTTTAAAATTCAATTCGATACAATTATAGGTACTCTTTGAATTTTTTATCATCTTTTTATCGTTGCTTTCTTCATAATTAAAAATATCCATATATGATAGGTTTAGGTCATTTGTTGACTGTATGATATTGTGAGTTACCAAAGTAAAAATTTCTCACAAATGGCAGATTATCAAGCTTTCTATGGTTTATAGATAACTTCTTTCGGAACAACAACAACTGATTGTCAGATTGCAAGATTGTCCTATAAAATAGGCTATTTTCCCATATGAAGGATTCGGTATTTTGAAGATACTCAAAGGTTCCATTAAAAATGTTTATGTACTAGTAATCAGCACCGTATTCCTGATGAACTAATATGAGTAGTTTATTCATCAATAGACATTTTTTTCGCCTCCACGTATCTGGAGAAGGAAGAATGAGAATATCTGAAACTTCGATATCTGAGTTGAACATAAGATATTTATAGATTTTCCCAGAATTTCATGTACAAATCAAATCTGGATATCCAGAATAAAATAAGTATTGGTACATAAACACTTTTAATAGAACCTTTAAGTATCGTCAATATACCGAATCCGTCATATAGGAAAATAGACTATTCTCTGGAACAATCTTGCAACCTGACAATGAGTTCCTGCTGTCTCGAACGAAGTTATCTATGAAACATAGAAAGCTTGATAGTTTGCATTTTTTGAGAAAGTTTCACATTCATACTCAATTGAACACACCGGAATATTATATAGTGAAAAAGTGATCTACATCTAAAAGAGATCATTATTAAGTACAAAGAAAGTAACGATGAAGCACGATGATTATTGAAAAATTCAATAGTAACTATAACTGTATCGAAATGAGTTTAAAAATAAAGTCTTTATAAGTTTATTTTAGAACATCTAAAAACACCCGAATGTCTACCAGTACCATGTATGTTTTCCTCAAGCATTGTAACCAGTATATGAGCCGGCAGCGTATGAAAACTTTAGGAAAACTTGATTTATTATATACCATTTGATGTGTTATTAATTGCTCTACAAAACTTTATATATATAATATTCTGATTCAAGATGCATCACTAAAGCCGACCCGATTCTTTTCTAAATAATTGGAATCTTACTTGCAATGAAATCATACCACTATTATTTGCATTCGAACTTAAATAAACGATTGTTTTACCGAGTAATGTACGCTTATTGATCAAATCAAAATGATCATGATTTATTTGATTATGAACAAAATGAACTTTTACTTTAACCTTAAAAACACAGAATATTCTAAAGAGTAAAAAAAATTAATTATGTCTTCATCATTAACATACAATATCTTCTTCTTCTTCTACGTATGCACTTTTAAAATCTTCATCAGTTTTTATTCAATAAAAATTATAACATGTATTTAAATTAAGAGCACTTGTCAATTGATCATCGGCTTCATATTGTAGCATAAGATTTGTACAGACTTATGCAGGTTCTATTTTAGAATTTTCATAATAATCACTTCTAAAAACAAAAACAACAAAGTTCATCTTTACCTTTGTATTTTTTTCAAGTAAAAATAGATTTAACAAAAGATTGGCTGAAAGTCGATGAAGAAAAATTCCATATTGAACCTAAAATTAAATTTTAAAGTTCGTGAATAAATTTATTTTTTGAATATCTATTAATTTTATCATGTAAAATAGTTAGTACACGTTGTTTTTGAGCAAAATCAAAATAATTGCGAACAAGTGAATAAGCTAATGAAGGTTGAAGTTCAAGAGCTTCCGGAGTATGATCAAATCTAAATAATAAATCAAAAAAACAATTCAATCCAAACATGAACTATATATTTTCTTACTTTTGTAAAATTGCTTCTGCCAACTTAAGATCTTCAGTCGTTTCGACATGAGTTAATTTTACTGTAAACTGAAAATTTTAAATTAGTCAACAAGTATATTTATTTAAAGAGCTCATCGAATTGATTCGTCATCCGGCTCTGAAAATTTTCTATTAATTGATCTGCGACTGACTCAACTGCCATATGCTTACGGTTGTCAATTGATATCTGCTTCGAATTTCTTTGTGGTTTTTCATGTAAGAAATATATCCTAATTTTAACATTTGATTTATTTAACGGGTGATTCAGAATAAATTTCATCCTCCGATTTTCAATAATATCTTCTCCTATTTTCATTGCTCACAATTGAACTTTTTTTTGACAAAATTCGTCATGCAATTTTGTACAAAACCTTAGAAGAAATTTTTCACACATGTAAAATTCTACGGTTGTCAGACACGAAAGTGTCGATTTTTCAAACATGTTCTTTTCGAAAGATTACTCTGTATTTTTCTTTATCTAAAAAGCATCTAATTGGGCAGAAGTAAGTTTTCTTTCATGTTGTCAATTGTGTTCTTTGTTACTGTGTCCAGTAAAGCTTTCTTAAATAAGGTCATGATACATGAAAGTAATATTTCATGCAGTATAAACCTCCAAAGAGCCGAACGTTTTCTCCACGTACATATTCAAAGTCAAATAATTGAGTGTAAACCAATATCGTTGCTCTTCATATAGAGAAAAAAATGAAAGAAAATGTTGGAAAAATGACCACTTTCGTATTTCGTAATCTCTCCTTTGCAGGATTTGGCAGTGTGACATTTTATATTAAAACCTCATGTGAGATTTTGTAGAGCATTGCATGGTGAATCTTTCCGTAAAAGAAAGTTCAAATCCGAGCAATGCAAATTAAAGAAGATATTATCAAAGCATTGAAGGAGATATTTATGCTGAGCTACAAATTGTAAATCATATGCTATACAATATTTTCATTCAACCGATAGTATGGAAAGCCAGTTACTGTTATATTACTAAGTTAATGGGTAACGGATAATTTGTGACTGAGATTTTTTTTTCAAAAATAGCGATTGCTTTAAAAGTTTTATGAAAACCAGTGAATTTATGGAATGGGTGTGGGGTGTGAAGCGCGAGTATGGGTGTGGGCGTGAGTGTGAGTGTGGGATGAGGATGTGGACGTGAGTGTGAATATAAAGGAGAGACCTATACTAACATCCACACAACCTCAATGAGAAGTGTCTCCTATGAAAGGCAAAGAATCGTTGCGGAATGCTATGTAGTCAGTAGAAGTTTCACGATTTAATATGGATTTCCTACTAGAGAGTTAAAATGGATATACTTAGAGTAATGGATCTCGGTTTCTACTACTCAGATTAAGCTCCATTTTTTGGAGATAGATCCATTTTATAAATTATCAAAGCGGTATCCAATAAAAATTTTTACAGTCAAAAGATAAAAATTTATCATGACTAAAAAATTTCTTAGCAGATAAAGAAAAGAAAAACGAAGAGATTACGGAATTAGTTCTGTGCATTACTGCTTCTGCACTGAGATATTGGAAAGCAATACGAGTGCACTAAGATAAATACTACAAGAATCTTGAATAAATAATATTTCGCTTTGGAAATAAAATTTTAAAATTACATGGGAATATGTTTACTTCTTCATTGACTTGATACATTATAAAGTGATCAAGAATGATCGAGTAATTGTTCAGAATTAGTTTAAAAGAAATATTGCAAGGCATATCTAAATTACAGCATGACTTGCGTTTCGTAATAACATTGACGTAAAAAACTAAAGAACACGATAAACTGTGTGCCAGTGTTATACAAAAATGAACTTTACTTTTCCAATGACAAACTCAAAAGCATCAGCAATACACGACGATGCAAAGATAAGAATTTATACTTTCACAGAAAGTCTTATCAGTCACCCAAATATCAAGCACTAATGCAAATAATGCATCGTAATGGTTATCATTTGTTTAAGGCTATGTAACCATAGAACATACTCGATAACACTGTATCCGATGAAACAGATATTATGAAAGCAACTAATATAATATTATCCAACGATAAAATAGTGCAATGGAGTGTGATTGATTTGAGCGAAGAATGACGTGTTCTCAACCAAACTTTAAGATAAATCGATTATTATGCTGTTTTTTTTGCACATATATCTGTGCTTCATGCTCCTTTTGAGGAATCATAATGTTTGTTGGCCAATCAATTATATATTAAACAGATAGTTTTTTGTTCAGTGATTAAAAATGCAACAATGGGAAAAACTTGAATAAAGCAGAAGAGAAATTTACTTGAAATCAGACGATCTCAGTGGAGAAACGTTTTAGACACTAGTCTTGTCTTTCTAACACAAAAAACTAGCAGAGTAAAATGATTTAGTACATCTATCCATTTAGACAAACAAAACTGATCAAGTTACATTGACGACTTATTGTTGTCAAACGTTCATGAACAACAGTGAATGTTCTTAACCGTGTTGTTTTATTTTTCATTCAACTTATCTCGATCACTGTGTTTGCCATTCTTACAATTCAAACTCGAGTCAAAGAAGTTAAGAGGCAAAAGAAATACAGGCAGACTTTAAATGTCAATTCGAAAGAATAAAGAAATAAGAGAACATCACTGTACTTATAATCCTCTGTATTCATTCTCTAGCGATTATTTTCTTCACTGTCATTTGTTCTCAATTCTTCTTCTTTTTGCAGATTATTTTATCTCGTACAAGCGTCAAGTGCTCGACTTTACTCTCTCCATTTTCTCGTCAAGTGTTTGCATAAGAACAACTGGCTGAGATATAGATTTTACAGCAAAAAACAACTTCAAATTGACGTTGAAACCGACAACAATACCAATGTCGATGGACACTGAACAGGTAAAAACAGAGCTCATAGAAGCTGGAACTAAATGTTTAGCATCAGAATGTAACTGGAAAATTTTCAGAATTTTTGACATTATTTTTAACACATTACTAATAATTAGATACATTGGAAATTATTTCCGTAAGTCTAAAATACATATCACGATTGCTAAGGGTTCCTATTAGATAGTAGGATAGACTGTCTTTTATTCAGGAATCTATCGAAAATTAAAATGACTATTTTTTAATGGTGGTTCTCTATTTGTGTGAATATTTAATTGTTAAAGTTATGAATTCGTGCAAAAGTGAAATTAACTATTAGATTGCGGTTCTTTGCATATATGTTCCGTGAGAAATGCAAGATGAACTAAGAATAACAGGAGGGTGTGAAAAAAAAACTCTATTCATCTTCCATGTGTTAGAACTCGTTAAATTGCGCACATTTTAGTATCAAAACATTGAAAATAAAAGTCAAGGAGATTGCTTCGAAGAACCACGATGCCTACTGTTTTTTGCATGGACAAGAGACTTTTTCCTATTCAACCGAAAATATTTTTAGCATTTTTTGATAGATCAAAATGCATGAAATAACTTTTTAGATGAGTTAGAATTGGCTTTTGTAAATCATGAAAACAAAGAAGATTTTTTTCAAATTAAAGAATATTGATATACAAATGTTACGTTCGAAAAATGCTAACAATTTCTTAGCATCAAAAACCCAGTATCTACGCATTTCAAAATATATTGAAGCTATCCGTTTGGTAGGTATCTAGATTTGTACAATTGAAGGTACTAAATGCATATATTACTCCTGAAAAAAAGTCTCCCCTAACTTTCCATTTTATATTCGTCATTAGCCCATAAAACTACAATAATTTGATCATATTTTAGTCTCTTCCTAAACTCAAATCTTTCATGATCGATATTTGAAATAAAATTCTTCATTGTGCAATGTTTGTATGATGTTAATAAGAACAATGTGAAGATGTATTTATTAAGCAACCAAGTTACATAGTGGAATCAATATGCTTTCTAAAATGTTCTACATTGATTATCGAAGCCATTATCTTCAGCCTATGGCACAAACTATGAAGGAATAAATTTTCGAAATTTTCGAATATGTTCCATCACTCTGAAAGGAAGGTCGCTGAGCAACAATCGTTTTAAGCTTATATTTGTCTTCTCAAGTGTTCCTGACTGATAAAATAACAGTTCGATAGGTGTGTGACTCTTGAGGACCATTCCTTGTTAGAGAACTTTTTGGGAATGATGTGTCAGTTAAATTGACTATAAGTGTTAGTAGAACTTTCATTGAAAAAGTAGCATACTTTCAAAACTTGTTCTACAGTTGGCTTGTCGAACTCAATTAATTACGATTACTACTTTCATAGGTTGCTCATATCCGTTTCTATCAAATTCCATGGTCTCACTATTGTGACAAAGTTCGTTGGGCACTCGACTTGAAAGAAATTTCCTATCAATCTATCAATTTCTAGCATCTTTGGAAAAACGGAAGGTTTAGAACAAGCACCCAAAGTACTGCGAAAATTGATGCCCATTATCGAAGATCCAAACAATCCAGATGCTCCATTTCAATGTGATTCCGCACCAATTCTACTCTATCTGGATGCTAAATATCCACAATCATCAATATCACTTTTTCCATCGTCATCATCTGGCCAACGTCAAAGTGTCATTGACATGTGTCTTCGTCTCGATTCAGAATTAGGTCTTTATACACGTCGCTTAGCCTACGTTCAATTGTTCAACGAGAAAATGAGCGTAATCTCGATTCTTCTCGGTGAAAAGTTTCGATGGGCCTATAATCCCAATGATATTCGTTCTCGTTTAATTAGTCCTTTTGTTGCTTGCTTCATGATAGCTCGATATCGACTTCATCGCATTGACGAAGAGCACATACGAGAAAAAACTGAACGAATACTTTTAGAGATTGTCGATCGTTTACGTACGCACGATTATCTGATTGGTGAGCAATTCTCGGCGGCCGATCTAACGTTTTGTTCGCTTGTCAAACCAGCCATGCACGTATCATATTTTCATGATGATCCTCGATTTCAAGTTATTTTTGATTATCACGAACAAATTCGACAAAAGTATGATCCAAAATATCCGAATATATATAATTTTGTTGAGAAGATAGCAGACGAACATCGGGCACAAGTGAAAAGGAATAAAAATCGTCTAACTATTCGTACCAAGGCTTCATTCATCAAATTAATTTTGTTCAAAAATTATTTTTTTGGATCATGACAATGGCTGTGAGCAAAATTTATGCACCATCAACTGACGAACAAGAAACACTTGAATTCAAGATACCATCATCATCATATAATGAACAACAGCCACGAGAGGCATTCAATGATCAACGAATTACAAACAACCAGTCAATATGGTCAATGGTAACATTTCTGGTCCGATATTTGTGTCATCTCTATTTTACAATTCCTGGTCAAGCTGCACATCTGAAGTAACGTGTGGGTGTGGGTATATTGAGCTAGAGTCACTCACAACCGCAACCATACCCTAATCAGCTCATCAATGTGTTCTGTGATTTTTTGTTTTGATAATATTTTGTGTAGAATGAAGAAGATCAGTCATGTATGATTGAACAACGAAAAAACGGAAAAGAAGAATAGATAATCAATTAGATGACAAATAATCAAAAATAGTTTCGATATTACAAAAAAAAATACTAGAAGTGTCTCATTCTAGCATGTGTTATATAGTTTAGTATTCTTGGAGTAATTCAGATTGCTAAACAATGTAAGTAATAAAAGCGGATCTATGTTTCATTGCTCATGAATCTAGATCACATATCTTCCAACTTATACAACATATACATTAAAAAAAAGAAACAGAACACTAAGAAATTTGTAGACAAAACTATGCTTATTAGGAAAGTATACTTGTACCCTCAGTTGAGTGGTCAATGTATCTGTTTGTTATCAGCTGTACTCATCTACTAATTGTTACTAGTGCAAAACGTATTTCCGTAACTCCTTGTCAACATAAAAATGAGAACAAATCGATATACATTTTATTTTATTTTTTGACGAAGTAATATTTGATTTCTGTTTGTTGAGTTTGATTATTTCCAGCTAAAATGTAGCCCATATCTTGTTTATTCTTACAACACGGCATACATCATCCAACAGGAAGTACCGCATTGTAAAAATATTCACAATATTGTGAACATCATATAAAATATTTAATATGTCAGTATGGCACATATATATGTCTAGGATGTGCGTGTAAGTGTGGGATGTCAGTATGGTTAATGTCTGAATACCCCTATTAGTCAGCGACTGACTGATATACCCATACCAGATCGGAACGCCACCGGACAACGTTGAACTCATGCTCGTCTGTGCTCATGTTTGGTTGGTTCGCAAAAATCGGGTGAAAGTATTCGAAAATCTACAGAATTCATGCTTTAAATATAAATTGCAAATCGATTTCTGAAAGCTTTTTTCTTGAAATAAACTAATACGAAAGATTTACTGTTTGTATAGCAGAATAGCATATTCAACAAGAAGAACGAGGTAGTTTGTTCCCAACATTGCTGTACTATGCATTTGTCCATCGATATTAACGAATCCTGTCGATAAACTACAGAATGAACTTTTACGACTCTATACTTGATCATATTCAAATTCGAGTTGGAGTGCGAATGTGAGTGTGGAAGAGGGTACGAAGAGAAAATTCATACCCACACCCTGGTAATATATATTGTTGATCTTTTATTTTAGAATTAGTCATCATATGAAGATCTTGTCCTAATAATTCTTTCATACGATTGATTGGTGGTATATTTACTAATACTTACTGTGCTTCATGTATTTCATCAAAACGAAATATGCACATAACCCTAGTTGAACCATTGTTCGATTAAATAAAATTTGTGTAGAAATATCTAATAAATGAATTGTATCTTGCATCTGACTCATTAACATTAAATTATATGCTTCATTATAATAATCATGTAATGTTTAATGATAATTGGGACAAAGATTTATTTGTGTACGTACACGATATGAAGTATCATCAGTATAAATATATTTACAAAGATGAGTCATTAATACAATAGAAGATGCATCAGGTGTTCTATCATATTTATAATAAATATGTTCAATAAGACATAAATAAACAGTGCATAAATGTTCCGATTGAATAATTTTATTATTTTCCTGAAATTTTAATTCGAAATCAATTTTTAATCGATTGGTAACTGAACAAATACAAAATTCATCTTTTAATCGTTCGATATTACATGCGATGCAAAAGTCTTTGCACAAATGTTCGACTCTATTAGACCATATTGCCAACTTCTCAACCAATCAAATTTTTTTTTGTTGGAAAGAGCAATGTCTGAACTACAAATTTTGTACCAGACATATTTTTCCAAAATGAATCTCAGAAGGAGAGAAAGTCAAAAACCAAATACCTCTAAAAAAGCTTTTGCAACGTTTTTACAAGTTGAACAGTTTTTATTTCTCAATTATTTTGAGCTACATAGACCGGATTCTAACAAAAAATACGCCATATTATACCGNAGTAAAGCTCTTACTTAAGATATTAGCGACACATACTCCTCTTGGTACATAACGACGAGCATGAGTCGCGGTTCTTTATGAGGCACTGACATAAAAAGTCATGTTATGTTCTGCTTTCGATATATTTTTTTTAAAGGGTAGCCTATACGTTCGTGTATGCAGAACATTAAACTTTTTATTATTTTTCAAATCGATAAAAATAATACATGAGTATATCAGAACGCATACATATAACATTAAATGAAGAAGAAGCGAGAAAGAAAAGAAGAGTAATACGACAGAAAAGATGAGTATATAGAACAGATGGATTTCATGTCATTACACACTACCCTCCATTGAAAAAAGGGTTTTCAATCAAATAGAACAGCCTTTGTATATGATTTATAATTGTCCATCACAAAAAATAAACAATAATAAAAGAGAAAGTACATAAGAGAAATGAACATCGAATCAAATAATATATTAGCCTAAGAATAAAGATAAGAAAAAATGAACAATAAAATAGCAATAAAAAGAGGTCAACAATATGAAAAAAACATGTTTGACATAAAGTGACATGAAAAATCAAAAAAGAAACAAAAAATATATCTATATGATGATTCTACAAATGAACAATCGTCTTCATATTGATATACTAGAATACTTTTTAATGTTGAGCAGAAACCGGCAATACCTATTTCACACTGAATTTTTAATTGCGACTCAAAATTAAAAGAAAAGAAGAAAAACGTTTGATTTGTTGTAAATGTTGTTCCAGCTTGAATATAAAGTCAATGTTAGTAAAGCAAACGCCCTAGCAATTTTGACTGGAAACAAACCACTCAGTAGGCCGTGGGTGAGAGGTCCGTTTTAGCCACCCACACAATCATACCCACAAGTTGAATTCCTCTATAAATGCTGAAAGTTACATCAAATTTCAAGTTTCCATATTTGCTTTATAATTGTCAAGGAGATATGTGATGGAATTACCAAAAAGATACTTGAGTTTTGAATGTTGTTCAAAGAATGAAAAAGCTTAGCTCAGATAACAATCTATGTGCACAAAAAAAGAAAATTTAAGAAAAACGAAATACTAATTTTGTAGGCAGAAAAATGGTTGTGGGGGAATTAGTGCGCTGCGTGAAAGTGACCGTGATTGACAAATGACTTCTTTTCGTGATCGTGATCGAGATAAAAACGTCGTGATCATGACTATAAAATATACTTTCAATATACAAAATATTCATTCAAAACTATAATGTTCCCAGTTAAATCAGAAAAAAACTGACAATTTAACATGTTAGCTTCAACAAAACATAAATGTTAAATTTGAAAGTTGAATTCAGCTGAGGATGTTGGTGTGAGTGGGTGTGTCAATATTCTACTCAACCTCACCCACCCAGAACAATGTTAATAACTCGTGACTGACTAAATCTTTTCATATCTGACTTACATAGATTATTGAACTTTAGTTAATGATTCTGATGAGCAACTGAAAACTAAAATTCCAAAACTTTTTACATTGAAAAATGTTTTGTTGTTAAGGAACTTGGTGGATAACCATGAGAAAACTTGTCAGAATAATCTGGTATTGTTAATTCGATGCAATTTCATCTCTTCTTTTAAGCAATGAAAACGGCAACTACAGATGTCAGTCGAAGGGTCGAATGGCGGCGGCCAAAAATTTTCATTTTTTGAGAATTTCCAGCGACTAAGCCGTACAGCGTACACCTTTAACCGCAACTCTCTATCTAGCTTCGATCAAAACTTATTCCAAAAATACTCGCCCTTCTTTTATTTTGAAATGGATAATAGGCCAGACATTTTCTTTGCACATGGTCCTTTTTCTTCGGTGAAATCTTGAAGTATAGTTTATTTTGAAGAGCATTTGTAGTGAGGAAATCAACTGAATCGATCACTTGAATATGAATATACTGTTGAAATGATTGAAGATTATGCTACGTGGACAGATAATTATTTCAATGCAGAATTATTATGATGGTTGCTTGTTGGTTTTCTTTCGCACATTCACTGGAATATATTGCGATTAATATCTTTTATGATCGACATACATTAATACTGGATACGAGTGCATAAACTGAAACACATATTAATTAATCTTTTCGATTGCAATACTATTTTTTGTCTTTTTTTTTTTTTTTTATCGGAAATCGAGTAGAAAATCGAAAAATGTAATTTTTATTTGAACGTTCTTTATGAATGGTATCTTATTTGTATTTATAATAGTGAAATTTATGATGAAACATGTGTTTATTCATCGGATCCATTAGTTCGATGTACAAAGCAAAGCTCTTATACGTGGTAAACGTTTAATTTTTCTGCTGATAAATCAAATGCATCTGAAACTGTTTATGCTTTTCTTAGTATTCCATATGATGAACCTCCCTATGATGAAAAACGCTTTCGTAAAGCAATTCCAAAACGAGTATGGTCATGTAGAGTTATTTATATGCAACAAAATTACCTAATTCATGTTATCAAGTGATGATTGTGTTTTTAATACAACAGGTGAACAAATCTGGATCCCATTTACACCATTAAGTAAAGATTGTTTATATTTAAATATGTGGATATCAATTAATGATCAACAAGAACCATTAGCTGTTATGGTTTGGTTTTATGGAGAAGGTTTTGTATCAGAATCAGTCAGCTCATTAGAAAACGAAAAAGCAACGATTTAAATTTTATAAAAAAAAAAATTTTTTCTTATTGTTCTAGAGTACATTACGAGTCTATGATGGTTCAATATTATCATCAACTCAAAATGTCGCTATTATATCAATTGAATATCGTGTTGAATTTCTTGGTTTTCTTTATTTGGATACACCGGATGCTCCAGACAATCAAGATCTTTTTGATCAACAATTAGCATTAGAATGGATTTATAGAAATCTAAGAAATTTTGGTGATGATACACAACGTATTAGATTATTTGCTGATCAGCTGGTACTGTTTCTGTTGGTCTACATTTATTGCCACCAAAATCGCGTCCATTATTTAGTACTGCTATTTTAGAAAGTTCAGGTTCAAGTGCTAAATGGGCTGTTTTAACGCCACAAATAGCAAAATATCGTTCAGAAAATTTTTGAAATATTTTTACAGGTTATATAACTTAACGTTATGAATCAGGTCCGAATGACTCCGAATATGCACACATATACCAAAACAATGTCGAAAACGTTTAAATAAAATGGAAGAAAACTTTTTATGCGTTAGTAATTATCCTATTTTAAGTCAAAATCATTTTCGTTCATCATAGGCACTTGAATCCTATAATAGTGGTTTTATTGGTTATACATTTGTACCAACAATTGATGCTGATTTTATACCTTATGATCCTGAACAAATAGTAAGTAAAAGAGACTTTAAAAGATGTTCTATTTCATTAGCTGTTAATAAAGATGAAGGTACATATTTTAATGTTTATATTCCATATGAAAATATGAGTATTTATTCATGGTCATATGTTGATTATAAAACATTTCAACATGCTATTAAACAAATTTGTTTTTCTTTCCATTTTCAATCTGTTTTGTCTTGCAGTACTACAAAATAGTTGATTAATTGCCTGAAAATCGAAGATTTTTATAGATTTCTGTTCGTTTTCCTTAAAAGTCGAGATTCATTGGTGATATATTATGATTCATGATTTATATACTCTTTCAAACACTTTCCGATAATCTTATTGACTAACGATTATCATCAGTTTCAAATGTGATAAATCCCATGCTCACGGTAATGACAATCATGAAATTTTCCAATCTACTTTGGGAAAACGGAATACAAAAGTGTATCATATTTGTCGAAGGCAAGGCTTACCAACCGCAATACTGTTTTAAGAAAAAGCTTGTCCAAGCAATATAGAAAACAAAAATTTTAACGGATTTTTAAATTTAAGTACTATTTACTGTATTGTAAGTTGCATGTTGGCTATCATATAAACTACATGTTGCCTATTTTCTGAAATACTCGGATTTGTATTGACTCATAGAGATTAAAAATAATACATTATTTTCTACTCTTCGTGAAGACAAGAAAAGCATGTCATATATGTACCATCATACTGTACATTTTTGACTAATTTGTGCACTAAAATGAAATGATTCACATGTATAAAAAGTAGTCTTGTGTCCTTTTGTTTTGTATTGATTGAAATATATCCTGTAAAAGATATTTAGTATGAGTTCTCGTGATATGACAAACTATCTAATTCAAAAAAATAATAGCTTCGAAAGTAAAATCCTATTCTTTACTGTGATGTCGTGATATATTGGATTTTCCCCACTGATTACTATTTATGTATGCTGGAATTTTCCAAGTTTCGTATTTCCTTTCTTAATATGTAGTTTCCCATTTTCCTGTTACATATATATGTGATCGTTCTTCTTCAGTTTCCTTCTTTCATATAACTAAGTTGTTGTCTCAGTTATCTTTCCTTCATTTCCTCACGAATAAATAAACTATAGAAGATCACTATAACTTCCGATCTTCTAACATAACTTCCAATACGTGACATTAACTATTTACGTAATCCTGTTGCCATGAAATATACCCATGGCGTAGATTTCTTCGAAAAAAACGCGTTCTGAAAAAGCGTCAATGCTAGCCGGTTTAACCCGCTTCATATCTGTCAAAACAAATGTTGTGAAACGATCATTTCTTAACGGCGTTTTGTAGCGTTTCTTAAACTGTGGTATCCTATATTTTGGATGAAAAAAGAACTGAAAACCCTGGAGTACTTCATAGAACTTGAGTTGCAGATCCATGCACTCGTTTACATTGATTCATAGAACTCTAGAACTATAACTTACATAAATTTCGATAAAGTAAAATAATCAAATGATATCAATATGTATTCTCTCATTATTCACAATCTCGCGTAAACTTGTTATTGAAATAGATTTTCGGTTTTACATTTGAATAAATTAAAAGTTATCATTTCCTTAGTGCTTAAATTCAATTACAGTTGTCATATTCCCCTTGATTTATTTTATATTTACATTCTTTGAAATTTAAATTTAAGTATACCCAATCAAAACAAATTTAATCGGATTTAAATTGAATTTAATATTTAAAAAAATTGAATTTCTTAAACTTAATTTCAAAAAACTTTCAATTTCAAGTTTTTTTAACTTTTTTCTGATTTAATGAATTTTTGTAAATGTGAATTCAACATCCTTTGATCCAATAAGATTGATAAATGAACGAAAGTTTCTTCTGTAATTCGAGTCTCTTTTATGATGAAAGCCACACTTGCATCAATAACGCACGAACCAAAATCATATTTATGCAACGAGCAAATCTTTCGTAAAATCATTTCACATCGCTTCCAAAATAATGTGAAGTAATAAATTTCGGTTTAACGCACATGCTTTGTATAGGCAAATTGCTGCGAGATGCTGTAACCAAACGCCTGCATTTTACATCATTCCAAGCAGAAAGGATGCAAAACGCGTTTCACTTCGAAAACGCTTCGAAACGCATCCCACAATCTTGGAAACGCGTTACACAGTGCGTTTCCTTCAATTTTTTACGGCATGGGTTGTTTTCAAGAACAGAAAAGACGTATATAGGTTATAATTATTATGAACGACATGAATTTTGTCAATATTGATAATTAAATCAGTTATATAAAAGACTTGATTAAAATGTTATATGCATTATGTTTCAATCGATCGTCATATATTTCAAAAATGTTCATCACGACTGAAAATCTGTCGATGTCGCGTCAAATAACCAACTTTATCATGTCACAGTCAACTATAAAAAAAAGTTTATGCCTTCTGTGATTCTATTCAACTGGAACTATTGTTACTAATCCATGGAATTCATCGAATCTCAGAATCAGATTGTTGCCTTTCTTGACTGTTGGTTACGGCCCTTGTTTGATAAAACAGATGTTGACTTTCTGGCAAGACCAATTTAGACAGAATCTTAGCTGATGAGACAAAAAATATCTTATCAGTAAGATTCTTATGTTTCTTCATGATTTTTTTTTTGTTTTCTTATAGACTTGCCTAATTCTTGTGATCTAATTGTAGCTTTTATTATCTATCAACAAGACTATTTGCTTTTATGTTGCACGATTTTATGTTTAGATTTTAACACAAAAGAAAGTAAGTAAAATGACTGAAAAAAGATCACATAGAATTATTAATGTGTTTCCAATTAAAAATGCATATATGTTATTATGATTCTTTTTCTTCATAGTCATTACTTGGAATCGATAATGATTAATCTCTTGTCAAGTTTTGGTGTTAATAACATCCTTTTCAGAAAATCTTAAATTAATTGTACTTTGATTGACTAATCAGTAGTGGAGATCCCACAGGACGAAGTTTAAGTTCATCTCTAAATCTCTGAGCTTCGCGAGATAAATTTAAAACTCATTGTTAACAATGATCTCACAGAAGCACTGAGGAAATTGAACTCCCTCTGACAGAAAATCCTGACGCTGTTGCTAAGGTCACCTCATATATATTTTTTATCCAAAATGTTCCCTTATCTGATATTGAGATGCAAAATTCATACGTTGTCTGAGAAGAATATTATTTATTCATGAAGTTGAACACAATAATAATTACTATCTATTTCAAAATGGTACAAAGATATAGTAACGAATGTTGCGAGAAACTACTCATTTTTCTTCTGCTTTTATTTTTCTGCGTACAATAAAATATTATTCACACCCTTCACGTGGAAAGAACGTCAAATATAAGATACAGTGTCATGCATATGGACAGAAAAAGTAAGCAAAAAATCAATTAAATGAAATGACATAAATGTATCATTCGATTCGTCTATCTATAAATGAAAAAAGGTTTGTTTTATAATTACACGTGATTTGCATCGATATCAAACGAATATCATTTTATTTGATCAAATAAACAGTTCGATTGCATAGTTACATAAAAGATATGTCTTTTTTATCATCGACACAACCATCCTATGGAGATCCCATTGTGATTTTATCTCCTCCCGATATTAATCCTCCAGTTAATATGGTTATAAATCCAGTTTTGCCCAAAACTAGACTGCATCATGTTTGTCAATGTTTTATTAAATTTCTTCATCATTTACTTCCATCATTTATAATTTTTGTTCTTCTGGTATTTGCTACATACCAAATTGCTCTCGCNCATATATCAACACCTTTTTCTCTATGAAATTAAGTTCAAAGTACTAAGCAAATAAAAATATACATTGTTCTGTGTGATACAGATTCATGTCTTTGTAGTATTCTATGTATATTTCTAGTATGGTTTTGGAACTCTTATCGTACTCCCTGGATTTCCACTGTACTTCCAGGATTCCCATTGTACTCCCGGGATTCCCATTGTACTCCCGGGATTCCCATTGTACTCCCAGGATTCCCATTGTACTCCCAGGATTCCCATTGTACTCCCGGGATTTCCATCGTACTCCCGGGATTTTTACTGGATTTTTCAGGGATCCGGAATCCCAAAAATCCGCCGTTTCCCCCTAGGTTATCACGATCTGGTCTATTGTGCTCATGATCGAAGCCTGCATAAACAATCAATAAAACCTTTCTAGTAGAACTTGATATACGAAAAATATACTTTTACTGACCGAGTACATGTAACAATTCATGTTGAATAGTTCCGCTATGAAAACAGTTCGCCTCATTATCTTTTTGCAAAGTCATCGTCAATGCATAATTGGGCCAATAACCCATCTGTAGAATTTAAATATTGATAAAAATTAATTAAATCATTCTTTTTCTTTTCTTCACTTACGTGTGCATTACATCCTTGTCCATATTGAATTGTAAGAAAAGTTTTGTCTCCAGTTTCACGTGGTCGAAAATAGACACAAGGCATACGTGAGTCAGTGTCAGCAATTGGCGAACCCGTATCGTATACCACCCAATCCATAGCATTTCTTACAATGTCACGATCATTTGTATCTGATAGTAAAATAAGATATGAGAAATGCGAACCCTAAAAAGGCATTACATTGAAGAATCAATGAGCTGAGTAAACTGAACACCATTACTGATGTTCGATGTAGTGCGCATCTTCACTGTAATGATCTACTACTTGTCGATTTATAAATTTAAGAAGAAACTTCTCAGTGCAGCCGAAATGTGGAACTCATAATATAACTGTTATTAATTTATGATATATTATCAAAGGTTTTAAATATCATTTGTCTTTTAAAACAAAATGCTAAATAAATGAATGAATCAATATTCAAACTATTTTCATAGTTAACATTCACGCTATGAAATTTTATCATTTCGAAAATTTGTACATTTATAGTTACTTTTCTACCTATTTATTTGGTTCATTTAAGATCTTTATACTGTAAAAGTCTATTTGTGTCGTTCGATAGGTCTTGAATATATAACTTCTATTTTTTTCGATCATACTATACATATGACATATGCCATAGAAAGTAGTAAATATAATTTTACTCTTTGTTTTGTCGATTCAACTACTATATTATCCTACTATACAGATTGATTTCTTTGTTCAGTAAGCTGCCACACATACGATCCTTTTTCTTGACAAATTTTGATTTATACTACTGAGTTTCGTCTAAGATTAGGATTCAATTAGTTCATATATTTGTATGTCCATCCTGTAATAACTCTGCTTGATCAAAAATATGACAACCCTATTGATTGATACATAGAATAACATCCTTTCGATATAGGAAAAAAAAAACTTACAATATTTAAACTGAGCAATTAGAATCGACAGAGTTTCCATTTTTCGTTGCTAGGTTCTCAGAGTGTGAAATTGCTAGAAACTGTAGTGAGAGTCTAGGGCGGAGGCCGCAAAAAACCTCAATTTAAACTTGCTCTCACTAATATTTCCGAAGAAATTATTAAAAATAACAACTAGTATAGAGCTTATTATGACATTTCGAAGAGATTTAGAAGTAAACTGTTCATTACTTGTAATGCGTGATAAATCATAAGGAACAATTCCGTTGGGCCATTTATTTGCTATGTTATAAGCAACACCACGAGTCATTGCGTCTGATTTTGGTCCAGGTATGAGTATATCATCTTCGAATGCTTTTCCTAAAGTTGAAATAGCGAATAGAAACAAGAAAATGCCCAAGAAAAGAAACATACCGAATTGTTCAGGACGGGCTCTATTTCGATCAGTAGGTTTCACTATGTGTTGCAAAGGACGAGAAACCTAAATTAAGTAATAAACAAATGAAAATATTAGATCAGAGAAAGATAAACCAAAACGGTAACAGGTATTGCATCAATCAACACAACCATCCATAATGGAACAATAACAAAGAGAACGACCTTCATATGCTTTTCAATATTCTTCTACCCAAGATATGATTGATATTATTTTCTAAGATTTACTGAAAATTTTATACTCGACATCGATTAATAAATCTTATCTACTGTTTTACTAAGATTTAGGTAGAAAAATAGAGTATTGAATTACAAAACACTCTATCACGAGCAAATATTGACTAGATTAGTTCGAAGAAATATAAGGTTTGTGTGTTGAAAACACTTATTTAACTTCTATAGTGTGATTCGAATTCATAGATTGATTCCAATACAAAATATGATACGTGTTTAGATTGAAAATAGTCTATTTGATGGCACAATATGATAGAACTGAGGCCAAATAAGTAATATTAAGTATTTACTATTTTAAATATTGTTTATGCTCGGTAGACAAGTACTCGATTAATTTTTTTCATACTGAAGATTTTCGGTCAAAAACAATCAACAAATAATTGGAAGAATGATAAGACTATTATCATTTTGTTTGATCTTGCATCAGAAATCGAACAATATATTGACTATATCATCTGATCAAAAGTAAGATTTGAAAATTTAAATAGAAAATATATGAGATATAACGAATGGTCCACTCGTTCTACAACAATTTTAAAATGTATCATACTTGCATTCAACTAAAGCAACGTGATTGTAACTTACGTAGATTACCACCTTATATTTTTAGCATATAGAGCAGCTTGAACGTATATACGAGTAAACTCAATCCAAATTCAATCACTTAAATTGATAAAGAATTATATTATTCGCTTTCTTATTGACGAAAAAGACAACGTAGAAAAGTTCTCTATCATTCAGAAATAAATTAGTTGAATGAATTACAAACTTGGTTTTCGTTTTTAAAACAAAAATAGTTCAATTCTACGTTTTATTTTAAATTTAATTTTATAGGTTCAACTATTTTCTTTTATTTGTAACAATAGTTCGTCAATAAATAGCGAATAGAAAATCATTAACGTGTTCTTATCTAATCATTTCAGTTCAACAGCTTTAAGATTCATTTTCCAGAGTTGTTCAACCGATGATGGTTTGGTAACTTTACAATTTCTAAAAGAAATAAGCACACAAAATATAAATTTGTTTATATTTTTCTTCATTCAAAAATGTAACTCACTGGAAATATAGGTCTTTCGATTGTTCCAATGTCGGTTCAACAGCACAAAAGATAATTGTACGTACACCGATTTTTGGCATTTTAACAAGTACAAATTTTAAACAATGGATCAATATATAGCTTAATATGAATCCAACTCAATCAATCGATTGTGGTGTTGAATCACTGAGTGGAGTCGATACCTAACCAGAAGTTAAGGCAAAAACGACGATGCCTTCAGCTTAAATGAAAATACATTCGAGAAAAAATCATAATCATCATATTAAGATATTAACGAGAACTTCGAAATTGTGTAAAAGCATCTGACCAATCGATCATTCGTATTCCTAAAAATGTTATATAAAAAAAAAATTTTTTAAATTTTTTATTAATTATTCTGTTACTTTTATGTACTTTAGATGAAACATTGATAATTCGACTAGGTCGACATTTTTTCAATTTTTCTAGCAAACTTGTATCACTGAATTAAAGCCATCTTTGCTTATAATAGGCAATGACCAACTAAGATCAGCATTACACATTCCATCAATTGAATATTAGTTTTATTAGATTTAGTTTCAATCAGAAGTTTGTTTATAGCTTGATGCCATTTGCTGAAATTTCGACAAGCAATTATAACTGGAGCACTTAAATATCGATTCATTCATATTGAAACACTTTGAGATGATTGAATTAAAAACCTCGTTGAAGACGATCTTTTGCTATTTCATAATCAATACCAGTATTTCCACCTAAGATTAGTACTGTTTTGCCTTGTATCGATGTTTTACTATGGATAACAGTAAAACGATAAGAGAATAATAAAATAATAGATGCTTGTAGCAATGAAAATATTTGTACGATATTCATCGGAAAATTGATTAGTGATCGAAAAGAATTCATTAACGATTTTGATAGACATGTTTGTTGTACTACTAAAATTTTGTCTACTACAATCCAAACGATCTATAGATAAAGTCAAATTGTAATCCAATATTTACCTATCGTAATGAGAAGAATTGTTTATAGATATCATGTATAATCGTAGAATTAATCTAAGTTTGATGAGAATATTTCAAAATAGAATGCAAGTAAAAGTATGTCAAATAAGTCCCAAGCGCAAGCAAAAATATTGACCTGGCTTTTCACTAAACACAAAAAAAGTAACATAGAAGGATATTAATTTATGTAACAAACGATTCATCAAGTAATTGTTTAATAACCATTTCATAGAGAAAATCAAATTCTATTTCAACTATGCAAGACCGAACCATATAGCATGTTTCTTCTAACACCTGTGTTCATCTTTCCGAAAACCCTAAAATCGACTAGCTGACCAATGACCATCTTCAATTGAGTCAATACTGATCATTCCGAGTTCCGTGATATTCGTTTTTCAATTTCAAAGGCATCCGAAGATGTTGTATCAATGTGTTTACCGCGTATGATTAACCAAGAGTGTAGCAATACAATGAGAGTGTACGTATTGCTACATTCTTGGTTAATGAGGAATTTTAAAGTCGTTTCAGAACTTCGGTAACAACTCTTTGATACAAGTTTTGAATTGTGTACCAATATTCTCGACATAATTAATTTTTTTCATATAGATTATGTCAAATTTTTGTTTTTCATCCAGAGATATTCTACTTGATTCTAATGTAGAAAAAAAAATAGATGAACCTTTATTATCTTATTCTCTTTTTCTATATCTTCTTTAATCAACAACAAGAGTTGACTGCTAAACTCATGTGGTGTAAACAACCTAGACAAGATCTGATAGTTTTAAGTTATAAGTATGCGTAAGATTGAGAATACTATAGAGTCAATAGAATACAACCTTGTCAACTTTTACACCAACATCACTGTCCAGAAACTTTGGCAGTGTCTTTTGATAATTTATTATTTACTATTGGTTTCCAGGAAATTAAAATATTAATCATGTTTTCGTGTTGTTCGGTTCATTGCGGTCTCATAATATTCAAATCTTGACAATGAGAATAGAATAGTCAATATATTATATAAAAGCAAAATTCTCTGGCAATGCTTTCGGTACTGATGATCTCTAGATTTGAGTTTTCAATAATATTCAAAGGTGAAAGAAGAATTGATAATTTAATTCAATATTTTACGATAACCAAGCGAACATAATTAATAATCATAGATTAATATATGAACAAGAACATCAAATATTTCATCCACAACTATCTCTGATGAAGATTTTTTTCACCAAATATCATGAAATATGAGTTTAAACAGACACACCGGCATACAAACGTTTTTCTGTGTAGTTTGATAAACATTACTGATACAAATGCTGTGTTCGTCGATTTGATTGAATAGCTGTTTTCATGATATCAAGTGAAAAAAGAATGTTGTGCAACTTAGCAGATTGGCAAAATTAAAACCAACTTTTTCTTTTAACAGTTAGCCAATGAAATATTATTTGAATTATTTGAATCAATCGATCCAGTAAATCTTGTTTGTGCTTTCTGTAGTCTTAACTTTTGTTTGAATCGCATTCGATCCTATCATCTGGTTTTTCGATTGAAGAGACTGGACTCATCGATGAAATAATCCTTGAACTACATCAATTTCCATATCTTACACATCTAAACATAATTCGATGTAATTTATATCTTAAGTACAGAAGAGAAATTGTTGCTCTCAACGAAATCTAGAATCTAAAGAAAGTGACAGATTGTAATTTCGATCATAGTTATGAACTTGCAGGATGCGTAGGTATGGGCGGATGAAGACAACACCCGCACCCTCTTATTGATATGTATTTGTTTTATATTTATCTAAGATGAAAACTTTTCAATTTCAAACGAATCATAAATTTTCTGAAACGAATATTGAACAACAAATCAATGAAATACTTAATTCATTTTGACTTGAAGAACATCAATGGTTTGTTCGATTTGATTAGAATTCATCTAATTTAAGCTTTGTTTATACATTATCTTATGCAGTTGATCAGATTTTTATTTGAATCAGTATTCATCGAAATCTACTTGTCCGAATGAAAGAGACTGGCGATAGTATGATAATGTGAAAAAATTTGAATTTATCAATAGTAACAGTATGTTTGTTAATGATTTTATTAATTTTCCGATTCGTTTAACGAATCTTCGTGAACTTGACATTGCTCTTCCTATTAGTAATCAGTTTTGGTCAATTATTTCATCTTGAAATCAATGAAATTGAAGATAATGTTTATTTTCAATTAAAAAAATTACTTGAGCTAACTTCACATCTCTGTTCATTGAAATTTTTCAATTAAAATGATTTGAATATGGTATTATTTCAAAAATTAAAAAGTAAATCAATTCGTCAACTTCATTTTACTGAGTTACGTGTAGCATGTCGCCAATATTTTGATTGTACTGAATATTTTACATTAATCAATTCAGCTTTAGAAAGACAATGCGAGATTCTAATTATTTCTGTTGTCCATGGAAGATTGGCTGTTGATATCGCTGAAATTCAGTTCAAGTCATGACCGATTCGAAAAATCGTAATAGGAATTAGAATGGTCGTATCTCGAGTGAATAGCATGTGAATTTCTATCCACACGTATACAGCAAGATCAATATCTAGTCATTACATTCACTCTATCTTCTTCACAGTAGCTTCCATCTCTTCTCATTCTATGCTCGGAATGTGTGTGCGCGTAATTGTTTGCCAGTTGTTTAGTTTTCTTGAAATATTGGACTAATTTGCCGAAACTTGTCAGTAAACTATACTCAAGAAAGCCACTATTTTCTTCTAATCTCATAAATGTCGGTGTCCTTTTCATAATGAACATTGGCCATCGAATATCGAAAACACTCTTCTCTATGCACATCGACTTTCGCATCAAAGAAATGATGCAGTATGACAAGAAAAACAAATCTCAAGTACGGCGTATGCAACTCATCTTGACAACTGATTGTGATCCACAATTGGCTGCAGTTACCAATAGAATGCAAAATGAGATACAAGAAGGCTTACGAGGACAATCACTAATTAAAACGAGTGAATATGAAAAAGTCAAACATATTTGTTGTAGGATATTGCAGTCAAACATAAAACAACGTCAAGAAAGTTCAAAATGCTTTCATTTCACAAAAAAGCCCATGACATCCGATCAAAGAAACGTTCGTCGAATCATTGCGATTACGCTCCCTCCTACAACGATATAGACTTAGCATATGGCAAGACGAACGAATACTCGAAATCATTTACATCTGAAACTGTAACAAAATCACTTTAAATTTGTGCAAATAAAAACAAATCTAGATGAAAATAAATTCATTGTCTCAATGAGAGTTATAATTTGAGAACTGTCTGGTGATTTTCTTTACTTGTAGAGAGAAAACTGAAGACATAGGCCACGACATAACATATATTGACAAGTATTAGTGAATGTTAAAAGTTTCTATTTATTGCAGTTTTGGTTATTTAAAAATATTTAATAGAAGAAAAACAATTGAGTCCTTTTTTTGCACATATAAAAACAACATAGATTAACAGTACACAAATCAAATGAAATAGAATAAACACTTGTGATTATTTCTTTTGTTGTCTGTTCGTTCTTTTTATTTCAATCTGTTGAACAAATTTTTTTACCAAGCTTTTCTTTTATAAAATTCTTGCTTTTTCTTTAAATAGCGTAGGATTCGTTTTTCTTCCCTCATTAAGATAAATTATCAAAAATAATTAAGATTCAAAATTAAATTTATTCAAATAATTTATTAACACATCGATTATCTACCTTATTCAAAAAGTTTATTAACCATGTGGATTTCGAATATGACCACAGATTATAGAGTATATCGCATTGCCCAGAAAACAATACCTTCTCCTGTTGCAAGTCACTTTTTTCCAAGAAATACAGCTATTCTTTTTCATAGAAGATATATATATTTTAAAACTCATTTTTGGAAAGCACAAAGATGATTTTCCTCTTACAAACAACTCGAGAAGCTGTATATTCAAAAATTCATCATGAGTCAGATGTACTCAAATCGGATAAAATTTTCAGTCAATCCTTATTTTTTATATGGAGAAAAGGAATGACAAGTTCAACATCTCGAAAAACAATCATCTATTCATAAAATTGTTTTTTTATATAATAATTAAAAAGGTTAACTCAAAAAAACTGTGCACTGCGTTTCACATACTTTTTAAGAATCTTTTTCGGAAACTTTGAGATGCGCGATTAGAAAAGCATAAACATTAAAAAGCACATTTTTCAAGCAGAAGGCGACGAAAATTGATGAAAAGTTTTGGTAAAAAACAAGATGACAAATAAAAAATCATGTCGTTTATGAAACATTAGACCTTAGATTTTCTTCTCAATTTCAATTTTTCGGCTGAAAATTGACTTTTTGTTGAGAAAAGGAGCCTTCAACTAGAAAATTTTCATTTCCTAGATTAAAATAATCTCTATCAGTTTCAAAATACAATGAATTCTATTATTTTTCAAATACATCTTGATAGAAACGTCATAGACACTTGCAGTTTTCATCATTCAAGAGAGAATACCTGGAGCCATCAGTAGAGGCCGAAATTGATCTTGAAAAACTACGAAAGCGCTCAAGATAGGAGTAATTCATCATGCTGAGTCGAATTGATTGCTTGCAGTTTCAAAGCGACGTAAGACAATTCTTTCAGTATTTTTGAAATTTCTACAAAGTATGAAAATCAAAGTTGTGAACATACTGAAAGAATAATCTCCGATAGCTTTGAAACTGAAAAAAAACGACATCACCATACGACCCAACACGAAACAGAAGAATTTTTCCCATCGATTAGTTGATTGTGAAAATATTTCAGAATATTTTTGCAAAGAACCGATCTGATTGGTTCGTTATTGACCAATCTTTTTTTCTTTAATAATGAAAACCGCAGATGTCTATAATATTCCTATCAAAAGTTATTTGCAAAACAGTTGAGTGCATTCTATATTTACACTAGCATTAGTTAACATATTCAAAATTCACTTTTTCAATTAATGTTTTCTTTTAAATAGATTTCATTAATGCTAAGAAAATATTTTCTTTTTTTTTTTTCTCCTCTTGTGCTAAAACCTTTCAAAAAAAAAATCAGCTCTATCTCTTACAATCTAGAAAAGAAGAAGAAAAAAAGCAAAATGAATAGAATAAACGAACATGTTTAATATGTATGTATATATACAAACACGTACATATATATATATATATATATGAAATCCTACAATGAAATCAGTTCTACAAAACAAACAAGCGAGACATGTTTGGCGGCACCACAAAGAAAAAAGAAAACAAATAACAACAATAACAAAAAAAGAACAGAAATCTAGTATATATATATATATATTTATATATGAAGTGATCTTGGAAGAACTGAACAAGAAAAAAAAAACAAAGATTGGTTGACTTTGATCTCTTTTTTTTTTTGAGTTAATGATGCTTGGCAAAAGATATTAACTGTATCACAGTGACAAAAACAATATGTCTGAATTTAGCCTATTGTTTATCTGGATCACTCATATGTTTAGTTAAATCTTTAAGCATACCAAATGCACGAATACGTTTGCGACCTAATTTAAATAAAGTTAAGTTATTTTTAATTTTTTTAAATTTAAATTTTTTACCGAATAATTTTGCAAGTGTTTCATCACAATTAACAAATTGTTTATTATTTGGATCCTTACAAAACAAAAAGAAAACACATTTATTGAAAACGAAAAAAAAAAGATGTTTACTAATAAATTATGTTGTTTAAAATAAGCCCACATTCGTTTAACAACTTCAGATCGTGGCATCTAGAATAATTAAATCAATAAAATTTAAAATATAAATCATTTGAACTAACCTGATTTCCACCAACAACACTGGCTAATTGATCACTTAAATCTAATTCTTTATTATATGAAGTTTTTCGTCGTTCAGATTTCGTTGTTGTTGATTTTTTAGTTGTGACTGAATTTGTTTTCTAGATAGAATATAATTAATATTAAATTCTTCTAGCAAAAAATTCTCAAGATGAATCATTTATCAGTTATTTTCCGTTTCTCTATGAAGGGCAACAGACATAATAAGTTGTCAACAAGTCTTATATTAATCATAATTATAGTTGTACTTTATACCGACTTCTTCTGTTACCCGAACACAAGAAAAACGGAAAATTGAATACATATTGTCAAGCAAATTCTCAATTATATTGAATTCATGTTATCGATAGTTGACTTATCCTTTCATGTAATATAATCTACAAGTTAGAAAGAAAAAGCAAAATGATTTTACTAACCAAGATGAAGATGTCTAACTGATTCACACTGCTTTCAATGATATTTTATTCATACATCGGGAATATTATTCTAAGAAAAATCTTAAGAAAGTTTGGGCTCATTTTGAAAGTTATGACAATTTTTGAGATTTATTCATCTAACATAAGATATATACAGAAAAATTGAACAATCAAATTTCAGTCGGAAATTTTGCTCATATGTAGTTCTCGTAGTAATTCGAAAATCCTGAAACTATTAGCGAAAAATGTTTTCTTTCAAAAAATTTTGTCTGATAAAATTTTGACAGATTGACTTCTTTTTCTTTTTTTTGATTTGCACATCTCGATAAAAAAGAATCACTAAACATGGTCATAACTTTCGCAGTAAGGTATAATCTCTAATTCGATTTATTCTAAATTAATCATCCATAAGAATAATTTCACAAAACTATGTGTTTCCCAAAAATATAGTTTTAAGAAATCTAACATCCAAGTTTTGTCCTTTAATTCTAGAGTAAAGAAGATTTAATTTTAATGATAACACGAAATAAGAAATTTTCTCATGATTCAAAATTATATTTCTGAATTAGTGTCGGATCCAGTATTTCATCTTAGGGTTGTTAAGTTCATTCTTAACAATGCCATTGCTCAAAATAATCGTTCTTTGCGTGATTGAAGGTCGCCATGGCTGAGTAACTACACCGTCTGACACATGTCCACAAGGCACTGTATTCAATCCTTAGTACCATCAGTCATGAAATGACCCTGGACAAGTCAATAACTACCCATTCAGTAGCATGCTGATTATGTTGTGGTATATACCTACTCTTTTGATTAGTTTGTGCATACGACTGTCTGAAGCAATTAAGTGAAAGATTCTGCACCGAGTTGCCCTTCTGTTCAGAACTATAGCTAGTATTTTTTTAGGGAAGATATCGAAATATTGGATCTGCTGCTAGGCAATATTTCATACTGCAAGGTAGAGATTTTTTTTCTTTCGTTTCATTTTATAATAAAATAAAACTTACAATTGGTCTTGAATGTCTAAGACTAGGACGATTTTCTTGTTGATGAATTTCCATGGCAAGTTCTTCATCAGATTTTGTTGTTTGTTGATTATTATTTATATTGGTACGACGTTGTTGTTTTTTCTTTTTTTTAGTTTGTGATGGTGCTGGTTTTTCATCATCGGATGTATCAATTTGTGCATCATCATTATCATCTTGTTCATCATTATTTGATTGTGTTGTATCTCGTTTTGTTATTTCAGACATAAGAATATCATCAATTTCTTTTTTACGTTCGGTAAAATCACATTTAAATAAAGCTTCAAGCATTTGCCGAACTTTTTTTGATGATAATGTATTTAAATCAGCATCTTTAAGAATTATTTGAATTTCACGACGCAATTTATCAGCGCCGACATCCATTGTTTTTGACTTTCTGTTTTTTTTAAATTAATTTTCTTAAAGAAATAAAAAAAAAAGTGTACATTTATAACAATGGAAACTAATATTTAGGTCATTCAATATTTGTAATTGTGAAGAAAAATGAAAGAACGAGTAAAAGAACAATATGGCCAATCCAATAGAAAGTATTGTCCTTCATTTATTTATTTCATATTTTGTAATTACCAATCAAATTTTCATGTCTGATTTTTTATTTTAATTAAACTTGATTCTATTATCAAATGTTAACAAAAAGAAATTAATTTAATATTTATTAAATGATAGAATAAAAATTTTGACAATTATTTCTACAGATGTCGCTAATGGATAGTATGAAATTAAGTAAATAATATTCACAGAGATAACACTGTTTGTCTATTAGATAACAAAAAAAAAAAAATTTCACTGAATCTGTGTCTCAAATATGTCCTATAAGATAGAAGGACTTTACTTCGGTCAAATATGTTTCAAAAAAAAATTCACTGTCTCTTATCATAATGATTAATCTTACTCTGGAGTGTCCCGAGATGACCAAGATTGGAAGCATAACTCATGAGACTAATTGGAAGTTTTTTTGCTTAAATTGAATGGATTCTGAAGGACTTGAGCAGATTTTTGAGAATTGGCGAGGAAAGAAACGAATAAAAACACTGGAACTTCGTCATAGAAAGCCGAAAGTTTCTCAAAACCGGAAGGGTGATCCATCGCTCGGACACGTACGTAGTCTTACTAAAACTCAAATTGAAATATGAAGACGTTCATTCAATTCTTCTTTTCGAAATATTTATCATTTTGAATTTAAAAAAAGCATTGGAAAGTGAATATGTCAATTTTCTCATGATCATTATTTTTTCTCATTTCCATGTAATCTACCGTTAGATAAAAAAAATCCTTACGAGTAAATCGGATTTTGCTTTTCCGATAGATAAATAGAAAAAGTACTATGAAGCGTAATAGTAATTTGAACTTCTCTCAATATAAATGTGATAGATTTTACTCGGCTATCATTTCGAATTTCAAATTATATTATTAATCACTGCTTTTTTTTTTGTTAAGTCTTGGAAAATATTCCTTTGTTACTGATAATCATTATAAAACGTGTATGGAATTACTTCAAACTATGGTAAATATAATAATTAATATATCGTTTTTTTTTTTTTTAATATTTCTACTTAAGTAATCCGTATGTGCTTTTTCTGTCGTTTATTATAAAGATGTCTCGTTTGGTTATCAAACGTGATGTTTTTTCATAATAAGTTATTATTTTCGTTCGTATGAACTCGAAGAATTTAATTCTACATAGATAAGTTCTTTTTTTTTTTTACTTTCTTTCAATGGCATTCAATATTAAAATAATGAGACTTTCGATGTCTCTTTGACATAGATAAAATTAGCGTGTCAAAAATTTAGTTTGAACTAAATTTCTTATAGAAAAAAAAGACGGATTTTATTATCTTTAAGAATGATATTTTTCATTTATTAAAAGTAACAAAACAATCGATCGAAGATTCTATTGATTGTAGAGTAGATTTTAATTTATAACTAACATATTCTTGTAAAATTTCACTTTGAAAACATTCTTAAATTATGTGCAATAGGACAATTCTAATATTCTGTTTATAAGAAATATGTTTATGATCAATTTTCATTATTGATTAATTGAATTTGAATATGAGTCGGTTGTTGTATTTCTATAATATTATATTTATTTCTTTCGAGACAAATCGATTTATGAGATATGAACAGCAGGAAGGAAGGTTCTCATGATCATGATCATCATCATCTTAAAATGCCTGAAGGGTATCATTTTGATCTATCACAAGAGAAAATGATCTATATCTTCAATACTAAACAATGATTTTTCCCGAAGAAATAAACAACAGTTATCGGATGTATTTCAATAGATTAATAAAAAAGAAAAAAAAAGAGCCACAAGCATATCTCTTCTTTTTTTGTTGCTTTAACACTTTTTTTATTATCTTCAACTTGTTTAATTGATATTGTTCGTTTCGATTTTTTTCTCAAAAGCGATGTTAAAAAATATTTGTGAAAATAAAATCAATTAATCGATTCGATCGTATTCATATCGCAATAGTCTAATCAGCAGTTTTACAGTAAAAGAAGCATGAAATAGTCACTTTACTAATAAATTTATATATATATAAAACTATCAACATATGACAAAAGAAAAGTTTTTATTTAGATCATGTTGATAAATATCATAGTAAAATACAAAAAGAAAATTAAAACAAAAAAAAAAAGAAAACAATAAGTAAAAACGAATAATATCAAAATATAGATTCAAGATTTAATTCATATAAAGAAATGATTGATGAAAATAATAAATGAATGCATGACAAAAAAACTAATCTAATTCGACAGATATTATGAGATTACAGGTGAAAATCGACATGAAATTATTTTATCTCGATTGACTAGTTTTATAAGAAATTCAATTAGAAAGAATTTTGTAGGTGTAAACAACTCAATTACTATGGTGTATCTATCGATTGATGAAAATATATTCTTTTCGATCCATGACGATTCTTTAATGTCAATACGAGAATTATCAACATCATTATCATTGCCAATAGACAACAAACAATTCAATTGATATTTACTAAAAAGGTATCAAATTTGATGACCTATATTTTATCAATTATAAAAAAGACAATGTTAGACTTTTAAAAAAAAGAGAAGAAAAGAAATCTCGAGTTAGTAGTTGTGTATAATAACGTGATCAAGAAGAAAAGCATTTGTAAACGCAAGAAGAAATCAATTTCATTTTTTTTGTCGTTTTCTTCTCTTCTCCCCGCCTTTTCTGCTCGTTCTTTTTTCTCTTCTTGCTGATCATAATTCCTACAATTGGCAACTGTAAAAACATACAAAGAATAGGATAGATAACTGATAGATAGGTTATCATTACTAGTAGAACTTTTTTTATATACATATTGTTGAACAACATCAATAATGATAGTCTATTATCATTAATCTTATTCAGTGGTTAATTAATGAAATTATTATTCATTTAAAAAATTAATTTTTTCACATGTTATACTCAATTATTTTCATTTGTCTTATTTGTATTTATAATAGTAAAATTTTTGGTGAAACATGTGTTTATTCATCGGATCCATTAGTTCGATGTACAACACAAGGTCTTATACGTGGTAAACGTTTGAATTTTTCTGCTGATAAATCAAATTTAACATCGAAATCAAATGCATCTGAAAGTGTTTATGCCTTTCTTGGTATTCCATATGGTGAACCCCCCTATGGTGAAAAACGTTTTCGTAAACCAATTCCTAAACGACCATGGCCACGTGGAGTTATTTATAATGCAACAAAATTACCTAATTCATGTTATCAAATGATAATTGATTTTTTTAATACAACAGGTGAACAAATCTGGATCCCATTTACACCATTAAGTGAAGATTGTTTATATTTAAATATGTGGATACCAATTAATGATCAACAAGAACCATTAGCTGTTATGGTTTGGTTTTATGGAGGAGGTTTTGTATCAGGATCAGTCAGTTCATTAGAAAACAACAAAGCAACGATTTAATTTTTATGAAAAAAAAAAAATTTTTTTCTTTTTGTTTTAGAGTACATTACGACTCTATGATGGTTCAATATTATCATCAACTCAAAATGTCATTGTTATATCAATTGAATATCGTGTTGAATCTCTTGGTTTTATTTATTTGGGTACACCGGATGCTCCAGGCAATCAAGGTCTTTTTGATCAACAATTAGCATTAGAATGGATTTATAGAAATATAAGAAATTTTGGTGGTGATCCACAACGTATTACATTATTTGGTGAATCAGCTGGTGCTGTTTCTGTTGGTCTACATTTATTATCACCAAAATCACGACCATTATTTAATAATGCTATTTTAGAAAGTTCAGGTCCAAGTGCTAAATGGGCTGTTTTAACACCACAAATAGCAAAATATCGTTCAGAAAAATTTTTAAATGTTTTTACACGTTATATAACTGAACGTTATGAATCAGGTCCGAATGATTCTGAATATGCACATATACCAAAACAATGTCGAAAACGTTTAAATACAATGGAAGACAAATTTTTATGTGTTAAAAATTATCCTATTTTAAGTCATAATCATTTTCGTTCATCATGGGCACTTGAATCTTATAATGGTGGTCCTATTGGTTATACATTTGTACCAACAATTGATGCTGATTTTATACCTTATGATCCTGAACAAATGTTAATTAAAAGAGATTTTAAAAGATGTCCTATTTTATTAGGTGTTAATAAAGATGAAGGTTCATATTTTAATGTTTATGTTCCATATGGAAATATGAGTATTGATTCATGGCCATATGTTGATTATAAAACATTTAAACATGCTATTAAAGAATATTTTCGATATATGCCAACATATCCAACTGAACGAGCACCAATGTTATTAGAAAGTATTATACAAACTTATACTATATGGAATGATTATAATAATACATTACAAAATGCAATACAACTTAGTTTAGCTGTTGGTAAGACAACTCATTTTTTTTTTGTATGGAATAATTTTTTTTATCTTAAGGCGATTATCATCTTACGTGTCCAACTGTGTTGCTTGCCGATATTTATGCTCAAGACAATGTTCCTGTATATTTTTATCATTTTACTTTACGTGCTTCTATAAGTCCTTGGCATCAATGGATGGGTGTACTTCATGGTAAGAATAATTTCATCTATTTTTATTGATAATTAAAATATACAAAAAAAATTATATTTAGCTGATGAATTAATGTTTGTTTTTGGTGAACCATTGAATATAACCGATGATCTTCATTATACAGATGAAGAAGTAATTGTTAGTCAAAAAATGATGGCTTATTGGGCAAATTTTGCTAAATATAGGTAATTGATAATTTAAGATCAATGATAAAATAAACATGTATTTGATACTTATCGATTCGTTTCTTTATTTCTCAAGAGATGAATATACATCTGTATAATGATGATAAATGAGCAAGCTGAAAAACACATAATTCGAAGAAATAATCATTTATCAAAAAAATAGTTGTCGAACAAGAATGAGAGAAGACTAACTTATTGAATAGTCTTTCATATTGAATATAATTAAATATCCTTTATTTTCTTTTTCTTTTTTTTCTTTTTTTTTCGAAATCAGTAATCCAAATCAAGGACATGATACACAATGGATAAATGAATGGCGTCCTTATAAATGGCCAAGTCGGGAACATATTGTATTAAATATTGATTTAAGTAGAAATCATTCTCCTCAACATGGTTCAGCTCTTCGTGCTGATTATTGTTCATTTTGGTTGGATTTTGTACCTAAATTAACAAGCGCTACTTGTATGTCATCTCAGTTTTTTTCCTACGTAGTAATCGGATAAAAAAAAAAGATTTCTTTTTTCTTTAAATTTAGCTAATATTAGTGAAGATGAAATACGATGGAAACAAGAATTTCGTCAATATCAAGAACGTACACAACAATGGGATTATTATTATGCGAAATATTTAGAATTACTTGAAAAAAATCGAGAAAAACTTTATAATTGTCTTGGTTAGAAGATAAATCTTTCTTTTTTATTTAAATATTTAATTAAGTGTTGTCTTTGTATTGTGTGCTTATTTTCATAGAAAAAAATAAATAAAAAATGAAAAGATTTTTTTATTATTAATAATGGGAATTCTTAAAAGAAATAATAAAATTTTAATTCAATATGCGAAGAAATATTTTAATAAAATTATTTGATTTTGAATACACTGTAACATACCACCGGAAAATCTGGATGTAATGTAATGTATACGTTCCATAGTGAATGGCAGTGAATAAACATGGCATCGACTCATTTCATCTGTATAATAGTCAATATAGCAATCAGCATGATGTCCACGTTCGATGAACGTACGTCGAATATTATCAGAAGACGGTTTAGGATATACATTAATCATTGTATTCTCGCTGGCGATGTCGAATATAAATGTATGTAGATGCGGCATGTAATTGAAAATTCCATTAGTTAGATAAATACCATCAATAAATGAATTTTGACGACGAACACGAAAAGATAATGTCAGCTTTTCCATGTTTGACATTCGACGAAGAAGCAGCACAACTTTATTATCAAAATCAATAGTTGGACGGTTTATATATAGCGAAAAACATTTCAGTTTAAGTAGAGTGTTCTATAAAAATAACATAAAAAGTATTCAGCAATCCTATGTTGATAAATTCGTCCAATAATAGATATCTCAACTATGTAACTGGTTTCCTGAAGAAATACTTTTTCTTTCTGAATAATTTTAACGATCGAAAGTGAGAATGATTTGCATCGAAAAAGCGAAAGATAAAAATAAATCTCAACGGCAATCAAACATATATGAAACTTGATACAACTGTTTTAATAGATATTAAAATAAAAGAATTTTTCTTCTATTATGTATATTTCTTTACGTCATTATTTATAATTATGGTTGAATGACGGACATAATCAAGCTTGACAATCAATGTATGTAATTGACTAAGACGACCATCGAGTAAACAGAGACAGTCATCAAAATTGTGTATTCTAATACGTAAATGAGCAACGTTGGAAGTATAACATCGCGAAAAAGATAAACCACGCAATAATCGTCGTAAGTAGAGATTACCATCGATACCATCTAAATCTAAATACTGAAGATTTGATAACCAAGCAAAAATAGCAACATAAGTTTGAGCTATGATGATCTCTAATGGTCTATACCGAAATGCATCCTTGATTGTCATTACTAGATGTGAAATTTGATGTTTATAGGAACGAATAAATAATGATTTTTCTAAAAATATATAAATGAAAAAAATTGTTTTACTATTACTTGAGGATCAAGAAATCAATTAACATACTATTAAAAATATGAGAAATCATATCCATTTCAAGATTGAAAAGAATGAACTTGTGTAAGTTAGGATAGTTGTTAGCACGAATAATACGCTGGAACAACGATGCTTGAACACTAAGAGATTCCACGTTATTATGAATTTGAGGTAATATATATGTGCAAAATCGATCAACCATTGCATTAAGTCTCGAATCGCTCGTGTCATTTGTCAATACTGTTGTTAGATCAACATCTTTAGTAAAGTTAATATCACATGCAATCTTATTGAGCTTTTGATTAATACCTATCAGTGAATATAATAAATCAATATTATTAAGTTTCTTGAAAATAGTCAGCAAAATTTCGTCAGGTAAATCAAGAATGCCAACATTCAAATTATCCATACTCTTTCAAATTCACGATGGTCTCCAAAAATATATATATACATATATGGCTATATTTCGATAAAGTTCATTGTATAGACATGCCCTCGGGTGTCCATGACGACAATGTTCACTATCACATTGTGAATATTATAACATTGAATTACAGTCAAGCCTGCTCACGTATGAACGAATTCATTATGTCTGACATCCGTTTAGATAAAATTAATATAGTAGAGATGGATAAAAAAATTTATGAACTGACGTGTGTAAGCTGCGGGGACTTCTCTTATATTTCATTTCTCGATAAAATTTTCCAAACGTGCATTCGCTAATTGATAAAATAAGTTTAAAACACAACAAAGAATAAAAAAGTCAATTTTAGACAAAAGTAACTTCTATATGATGTTTATTATAACCTTTAATATAATCTTAACATAAAAAAATTAAAAATCACAAATATCATAACAAATTCACTTACGATTTATATGCTGAAAAAGAGTTTCTTCTTTTTTCTTTTGCTTGTTTTGCCATAAAGTTGTTTGCCCTGTGTTGCAAAAACAAAGGGATATTCTAATGGTTTTAATTAAAACAAAGAATTTACTATATAGATCTTTTAATTGTTTGAGTTGATAATGCAATGTTTCCCGTCGATCAATCATTTGACTGACAGATGCAGGATTGTTTGCTACACCAGATTTTACAGATTGATTTCGTTTACTTCCTTTTCATACTGTTGATACTAAAATAAATGAATATTTTCGTAGCTCTTAAAATATAAACAATGAATCAGACTTGTTCAATCAATTGTCGTGCATGATTTAAACTTAAGATAAGATCAATAGACTTTTCAATAGTATTATATTTTTCTTTTGAATCACACGATTTGGCTCGTCGTTCTAAATTCATTTTATCTACAAAAAGAAACGAAATAAATTATCTATTTTGATTATGAATATTTACTGAAATATCGAACATGTTATAGTCAGATAAACGAAGTCAAATTGAAATCGAAACACTTGTAAATCTATACAATAACCAACGATTATTCTTTCTTTTTCCTCCTATTTTTTTCGATTTCTTTCTCTAAATTAAAACTATCTAACATTCAATGCCATCTTTTCATTTGAAATCAATGGAAAAACAAGTTAAACAAAAATAATAACAATAACAGCAATTATTACTTCAATATGCAATATAAACGGAACTCAAGTGCCACGATTCGACTATCTTTATTAGCTTGGATCACTGAATCAACACTTTGTTCAAGTTTTCTTTTATGTTCTAACATTTACCTTTTATTTTTATTTTTATTCTGTGGGTACATATGATATTCTTGAATGTGTACGCAATATAAATACATGTCTATGTTTTACAATAAAAACAAGTAAATAAGAAGAAGACAACGAATTACCAGCGATAGCTGTAAGAGAAATAACTGTTTTCAAATCAATTCATCATGAAAATATTATCTCAGTTAGTCTAAAAACTAATAATCATTTTTATTTTATTTTATTCTATTTATTTATCTCCCTGGGCGAACATTTTTTGGGACGCGCTTGAAAGGCTTGAGCATCTTGACCAAGAAAGTCATGTGATATGGACAACTCTTGAGGCATGTTGTGTCCAAGCACATGAAAAATAAAGTTTCACTAGGGCAGTGATTAGATGATCGCGCAAATGTAACGCTGGGATGGAAGTGAATTTGGCACAGATAGTTTCGACATAAGGATTTGGTGATCCACAACGTATTACATTATTTGGTGAATCAGCTGGTGCTGTTTCTGTTGGTCTACATTTATTATCACCAAAATCACGACCATTATTTAATAATGCTATTTTAGAAAGTTCAGGTNCATCCTATGGAGATCCCATTGTGATTTTATCTCCTCCCGATATTAATCCTCCAGTTAATATGGTTATAAATCCAGTTTTGCCCAAAACTAGACTGCATCATGTTTGTCAATGTTTTATTAAATTTCTTCATCATTTACTTCCATCATTTATAATTTTTGTTCTTCTGGTATTTGCTATATACCAAATTGCTCTCGCCTGTTATAATTGTCCACTTTCTCATGCAGATCTTGGCGGGATACGTGCTTGCTTGTTCATGAATATTCCATTCGTGTTGGGTATATTGATCTACATCATCATCATAGTGAAAAACAAATCGTCACCTTCCTATGATCATGTTCTATGGGTAGCCGGAAGCTATGTAATGGTATCATGTTGGCATTTTGTGGTAGATTATTACACTGTTACAGGTATAGAAATGGACCAAATTCTAAAAATATTACAGAATGCAACAGTCGTAGCTTTGTTGCCTTGTTCTGAAAGTTACTATCGACAAGTATTCTGGTTCATGATCGCTAACTATTTGTATCCTGTCTTCTTTGTAATTCTTCTTTGTTGTTTATGTTCTTGTAATGATCAGACTGTTTCCGAATCCACTGATGAAATCATGCTTAGATGTGATCGATTCATCTATGGAATTGTGAATCCATGGAGATATTGTAAGGCTATCGTGTTTAGACGTCACATGGAAGAGACTTTCACGAATCATTTATAATTATCAATCAACAACGATTATCAGGTTGACTATCGTTTCTTTATGAAAAAAACTGTCTGTATTCGTATATCTATTTATCTATTTTAATTTGAATCAAGAGAAATTTTTTTTTTTATTATTTATCGAATTTATAATTAGATAAAAAGTTCATCTCAGACGTAAAAATTAACTATTAATTGTTGAATTTATCCAAAAATGCTGATACTTATCATATACGATTAGAGAAACCACAATTGACATCCTATTTTGTATTAATATTTCTCGAAAAAAATTCAAAAAATTCATTCTCTTCATTGCTTATGTGTAATAGAGAATATAAAGATATTTTTCAAATATTCTGTGAAATTTTTTTGCTAAGAGATATGTTATAGAAAAACAGTCTAGGATGAAAAACTGTAGAGTCCAGTTTAGTGAACGTTTTGCAATATTTATTTCATTTTTCTCGTCAAGTTTTTTTTTTTAAAGCACATTAGTTGTTTAAAAGTTGTTGAGTATTATTTATTGAGCCAATATCTTCTTAATTTGAAAATACGTTCTCTATTAAAAATCTATAGTCATTCTCTTACTCATTATCATTTTGCAACCAGTGATACATTTCGACGAGCAATGGCTAGAAAATCAGTATTTTCTAGTGAGTTGAATGTCTTTTTGAGAGAAACAACGCTTAGCAAAGAGCAACAGTAAAATGATGGTGAGAAAATACAAAGATTGCAAGTTTAAGAATTCCTCATTTGCCAAGAGCATTTTTTATTTTTTTGAAAAGATACAATCTTATTACATCACCTCATTATTTATAGATTTAATTATGTATATAAATGTTGTACGAAGCTAAAAATAGGTTCGTTTATACCGTTTTAAGTGTCTCGGCATACCTCTCGTTTCTACAAAAAAATTATTTTTTCTTCTTTATACACTTTGGTCAACCTGTACATGCACATGTGAAATAACAAAATGGCTAACACATATTTGGATACTTTACCAGTTGAGTTATTTTATCAAATATTTTCTCATCTTTCAGGTTGTCATATATTACGAGCATTTTATTCAATAAATAATTATTTGAATGATATTCTTATTAGTTATAATGACTATGTTTTTGATTTATTTTCATCGGACATTTCAAAAAGTGAATTTGATCTTATTTGTTCATTTTTACGATCGGAACAAATTGGTGGATTGAAATTTGGTAACAGTAATTTTGATTTGGTCAATCGATTTCTATCGAGTTTTTCAAATCAACAATCATTTAGTTGTCTTCATTCACTTTGGATTAATGATACAATCATAATTGATCAATTATTTATGTCAAGATTGGCATTAATAATAAACTATGATGACCTAATTTCACTTCGTTTCGATCGTATTCATCTTAGTGATCTCTATACATTATCAAGTTACTCGTTTAACTCTCTTTCACAACTTGTTACATCTTCAAGCAGCCAGTTTCGTCAATTATCTAAAGAGATACCAACTCGTTTGACATATTTGCATATGTATTTTGACTCTTTTAATGATATATATCGATTTATTCTTCCCAATATGCATCAATTGAAATCCCTCGGCGTTGATATTCAGTGCAGTTTAAATGATATCAATCAATTTATGTTGCTTTTCAGAAATTATCAATGGACTCAATTAATTCAATTCAATCTCAACTTCAATGGTAAATAAGAAAATAGATACATTATTTGGTGCACATTAGATGCGGTTGTGACTCTTTTCTTCAGTCACAAACACATCCTAAAGGGACTAAAGAATGAAAAGTATGAAAGTCAATGTAGCATGGAAAGCATAGAAGTAAATTAGGGGATAAATTTAATTTCGCTTGGACCTCTTGAAATCGTTTGATTTCATACATTGACTAAGATAAGGTCTCATAGATACGATGATAGATGATTTTTTTTCGATAAATTTGCGATCCACAGAAAGGTATTAAAAAAGAAAGTTGATATATAATCTTTCCTATAAAACGATTAATCGCTCATTAGATTTGTTCTGAAAGTTTCAACCAAAATGAACATGTCTTTTGAAATATGTTGAATTTTCAAATGTACTATATTACCGTATTCCTTTTGTGACAGATGATACCATTTGAAAAATCGATATATCGAAAAAGATACATTTCTGTGGGCTAAAACTTTCATAGCAATATTCTTTTGAAAAAGTCGGACTTAAACGATCATCACTCATCAACTTTGAACATAAATCGTGCTTTAGAATTTTCTTAGTTTCTATAAAAATTAGTCTTCCTGAGAGAAATTGAAAACCGTTAGTCATCAGTATATGCTATCAGATGATATTGGTCAATGTTTATTGCAACAAAGTATATATGAGTTATCATTTACTGAGAATTTTCGAAGTGAAACTGATGAAAAATTCAGTATCGACTCAATATCCTCATCTTACTTCTAA